ACGTTCAACCTAAGAAAAACCAAAGGTTCTGGTTGAAGCGAAATAGGAGGTAATTTTGTGCCAAAGGTCCACAACAGGTGTTAGTCGTGGGTCAGGTGGAGCACTGTGGAAAGGTCAGCATTCAGTAGCCAGGCGTGGGCTTGAAGGGGGTAAGTGTGGGAAGAGATTTGCTACGGGAAGAAGCCTTCCCTATCCTACCCCGAAGCCAACCTTTTCCACCCGTTCTCAGTATCTTTGCCGAGCGGTTTATTATAGGAGTCGAAGTCCAGCGTGGTGTCGCATGCGGCCTTCTGTCTTCACTTGCCTACCCAATTTTCCCTCCTGCAAAATGTGACCACAAGAATTTTCTACCCAAAATCCAAATAAGATCCCCTGGTAGTGAATAACCGAATGACACCTTCCAATTGTCAGACCGCAATCTCTACCTTGATAGGATGGTAGAAGCTTCGAGAAAACTTGGTTATCAAGGGAAGGATCTTCAGCACCCGCAATGCAATGCCTTCCATCACTTCGGCTGACCCTTATTCTTAGCACATTCGTGGCGCGCACTAGACACATTCATTTGGCCCCTTCACCTGGGAATGTTTCCAATTGTGGCAGCGGCTATCTTCTTGCGCTTTGTGTCTCTCTCTGTCTTCCAACGCGGTCAATAGCCACTTCGGTTGAGGCAATTCCGATCGCGGCCGGGAAGCCTCTAATTAAACCGAGGGTCGAGCTCGATGAGGAGCCGAGCAGAGGCGGTGCACAGGCGTCCCAGCCAGCTCCATCACATTCCCCTTCTTGACCGACTACAATTACCTCTTTTTGCGCCGAAAAAAATCTCTTGCCGGCGCATTACTCTACCCAGTAATCGATACCTATAGTTTTCACCAGCTCTCATTTGGCTATCCAATATCGTGGAACGGATTTAGAATGCATACGGCGAAGGCGGGGTGCCGTACATGATCGGAATGCAATATCTCTGTCGTCATATTTTCTGCGCAACGATATCGGCTGAACTTTCACCTTCTCTGGTATTTATTGGGTTTAAATATTTACCGTTATTGGCATAGATAGTGTACAAATTATTCAAGAGTAGTTGAATAGATGACAGTGCGCAGTCAGGTATGGCACAGAGTGCGCCATGCCTCCGACATCGCTTCAAAATTGAAACCTTAAATCCATAAGGAAAAGCCGACCTGATTTTTCCCATCTGACGCCCCAATTAGCCATTTTTCTACGCGTATAGTATCGACGCGAACAAATAAGGGCCAATGACCGTTGGACCAGGTCCAACTTCGCTGTATGCAATGTGTTAAGGACTTTGGACAGACTGTGCCTCATTTGCGTTCTAGTTAAGGCTGAATTTGATCGATCGAATGAATTCATGGCGACTTTTGGTCCTTTCAAAATGCTAAACCCACTCTAAATATCCGTGGTCAGTTTTCAGGACATTGGGCTTTCTGATGGCAGCTGTTTTCTCACTGAAGATTGTGATATAAAGGGGGAGCAATGTGCATCAGTTGCGGCGCAAGTTATTCAATCCAGGGTTCGCCCAGCCAACCAAAGCCTCCATTCCCCCGGCGGTCGACCCCTTGGTACCCAGACTTTGTTCTGGACGATAAAACACATACTTGTCCTTCGCGCTGCCCCCGCAAGTCATATATGTCACGCAATGCCACTCCGGAATTAACAAATGGAAGTAGAATGTGCCACCGATTCCCTGGAAGTGAATTGATCAACCGCAAATGTTTATCGCTAATCCCCTCATGGCAGGTGCAAGTAAGCACCTACTTTCGGCAAAGAAGTACAGCCGGTCGACTCAATTCTCGACATCGGGTTTCGTCAAGTCCACTAGTCCTTTCTCCTTCTGGAATCATTATCAGTGTCAAAATGTCATCCGAGATTGAAATGTAAGCGCTTTAGCTCGCACTGGCATCCGCAATGCAACTTGCCCTAGCAGCAGTACCCCCCTCAAAATGGTCTGGCTATCCCGATGCGTGCTAAATGGACAGAGCTGGCGCATCACAACGAATTGTTTAGCCTCGATTACTTTGTCATTTCTTTTAACTAAGTAGCAGTAGTTGGAAGTATATCTGCATGGATGAAGCGCTCCTTTCTCCGCTTGGAATCACGAATTCGAGACCTTGGCTCCGAGTATAGCACCCTTGCGACCTCTGGCCTACATTTGTCAACACGGTTTACCTGCCAACCTCCATTAATTCAATTTGCAGATCGAAAATTGATGACCAAATTGCTCGCGAATTCGAATACTAGGCTGAAATGCGAGGCGACCCGAAATGGATTGAACATCTTAAGAACTTCATTACATTGCCTTCCTTGTGATTATCGATCCCTTCAACAACCTCTGTTCAACTCTACCCCCATGACCTTGCTACCGTAACCATCTCGTGGTTCTTTCCTTGCAGCGTTTACTTTACAGAATGCCAAAAAATCGATAAACCATCCAGGAGTGATAGAGGTCTCTCAGTCTTTATCATTTTTTTTTTTCCGATCTCGGCCCCCGTAACCAAACAATTTTGAAGCTGAACACTTCAAAAAACCTTGGTGATAACCCGAACGACTGCGGTTTCGGTAACCCACCCATTACCCTTACCGTAGTTTTAGCTTGCTTTTATGGCAAATCAACATGGCAGTGTAATTACGACCTCCACGCGTTTTTCTGTCGCAAAAAGCGCTATGCACTCTCCCTGTTGAACTTTCACTACCGTAATCGGCAATACGAATAGCACTTTCTCCGCCGTCGTAATCGCTATGCGGGACCGGTCCCATTTGCAAGAGTAGCGAGTGCATTACCTACCCACCTACGAGTTTATGTATTCGTTGTGGTGCATAGGGATGTCATAGGTGATTACCGGCTGGGCCATCGCGCTGACGATTCTATTGACTAGGCCAATTTCTAGGCGATCTAGTACACCAGTAATCATTAACACCGGCTATGGATTGGCCCTGGCTGACTCAGTCACATCGTCGAAATAAATCGACGGCGAGTGTACCCTGGCTGCCCTTTCAAGGAGCAAATGTTGTCCATTGCATTTGGGTTCTCTAGCTAGCTGCACACTCTTGCAGACCAGCTCCATCTCATGCATTCTTCATGAGCAAATGAGCCAAATGGTTCAGTGGGAGGGCGATCGGGAGGTTTTCCATCCTCGGACCGAGGATACCGGGTTAATTCGAGTCTTCCATCGCTTAATGTCGCTCAAGCTGTAGTGGGCTTGCTGAAAAGAAAAACCCTGACCCTACCTCTCACACGAGCTCTGTAAGGCTTTGCATAAACCATTTGCTCTTCCAAATAGCTCCACGATTATGGATTGAAGTCGGACGCATGGCGTAACCTAAGCCGACCTTCCCTTGCTCTTTCTGAATCGCTTTGGGAGAAGCTATTGGTCTAGAAAGCCACAACTATCGATGGAACACGGTTCACTATGCACTCGGTGCGATGAGGAACGCCAAGCCGGGCTCGATGGGCGGGGCCTCGATCGGGCGACGATGCGATGAGGGGCGGAGCCGGCGATCGCGACGGTGGCGGTAATCTGCCATCGCGTCGCGCGGCGCGCGAATCGCTGCTGAAGCGCGAGGGGGCGGTGCCTGTGTTGTCTTCAGATACTGTGCTATCTCGTCCGACGAGAGCTGTGTTGTGTGACCCCGCAGATGATGTTACTGACACACTGGAGGTCATTCGTTGCGCGACCTCCTCCTCTTCCTCGGCTCCCGTCGGGACACATTACGCCATAACTGCTCACTCTCTATAACCATTCCGAGCTATTTCTCTTTCGACCCACTTAATTTCTGGAACATTCCATCGAATTCTAGATGTATTTTGCGGTTTTTATTCGTCGTAACACTTACATTGACCTTACGGATTACGGTAGTACGCGGCTAGGTTCTGCCTTGTTCGGACTTGTTGATCTACCGTAATCGCTACCGTTCGATTTTGGCGCGATTGCACCGGTTCAAACCTGTGACGGCGTCATTTTGTTGGTCACTCGTCGCTATGGACGCCGTTATTGCCCCTCCTCCAGCCAGTCATTTTGTATTTCCTCATTTCTTCACGTTCCTAATGTATGACTCTGTTCGCAGTCTTTTTCCCTCTGTTTTTTTTTGAGGCAATTTGCGCTTTTGATTTACTCAGAAAATGTATAATTGTAATTGTTAAATGTGGGTTGAATAGGTTGAGGTGCTCACGATTTTCTTTCCATTTCACCTTCATTTATCATATAATTTTCTAGGAATTACTCCTCCCTTCCAAGGGAAATACTAGATTCATAGATAATGTCATTGTGTTGTTTCTGAGGAGCTTAAAACATTTCCTATACTAGTTCTGGCGCAATATGGCTCTAGGAGGGGGCACTCTGTAGAAGGGCTTCTCGGACTAAGCCTAGGCAGCAGGGACGAACTCCGGAGAATACGAAAATTGCTTCCGCACACCGGAGTCTCTCCCCTCTTCAAAAGCTTAGTCCTGAAACTGAGCGTTTCCGTGATCTTGACGCGATGTTGCGAGGTGCCCCCCCCCCCTCGAGCCGCATTGCGCCCTAGTTCCTTTTGAGGGAATCTCAAGTGAACGTTAGAAATTCCATCCCTGAAGTGCATATACTCGTCAGGAGGAGTCGAATACTCAAGTCCTATCTTTCCTGAAACATCATTATCTTAATTTTGAAAATTGCACGTTCCCTTTCGCTGTTCGGTTGGCCGAAATCACCGGGGTTTGTTTATTTGTTTTGTCATCACCGTTACTTAGTCCCCAATTGGTGTCCTGATATCAACAGTTCTCTAATGACGCTGACTCATCTAGGACGGATACGTTGTTGTCCCGTTGAATCATCGCGTCGACATTTTCAGTAACTGTTGCTTTCCAATGATTCATCCATGTAGACGTTGGTACACAGCGGAAGTCTGCTGCTTGTCGTGGTCGTCGTGCGCCTCTTTTTAGTAATGGAACTCGTTTACTTATAGAGTATCGCCAGTCTATAACTCCACCACTTCACATCATTACACTGACGATGTCAGACGAGCAGAAGATTGTGCAAGAAACCGTTGCGGTCACTGTTATTGAAGAGGAGAAAGCACCGGCTCTTCCGACAACGGAGCCACCAAAAGACGACGTGGGTAAACCGGCTGAACCTGATGTAAGTTTTCTTTTGAGGACTGGTTTTTACAATATCAAAGCAAAGTGCTTAAAATGTCAGTTTGCCATCTGGGACGTAGATAAAGACCATGCTTTGTTCTTTCTCTTGGATTTTTATCATAGCTTAAGTCTTCCCGGATAGTTTCTTTGGGAGTATTTCTCCAATTTTCGGGTAAAAGGGCTTCAGTTCACCATTCATTCTGGGTTACGTTCAAGTGTATAATGAGGAATTGAGAAATGTGTTTCAAACGTTGGGATCAGTGTGTCTGTTCAGGTCACTGAGGCACCGAAAACCGATGAGAAACCAGCTGAAGAGTCTACGAAAGAGGAGAAACCAGCTCATCGTATTTTCAAACGGCCTACGCTGAAATGGGGTAAGAAACGCGATGAACCAGCTGCTCAACGAGAGCCTGAGCAGGCGAAGGATATTCGCGAGGACGCCCTGGGATGGCTTGCGCAACAGATCCCACCAGCTGTTCACAAGGTGAGAATTCACACAGCACGTCGAAGCAGAATATATAACGCTCTGATTCAGGTCAACTACTTCGTATTAGACTGGGCCCAGAAATTGGCCTACGGTGACGCGGAACGACCTGCTCTACCAGGCAAAGATGGTTCTGTGACTCGCAATCAGTTTTTGGCCTTTTTGCGTGACGGGAAACTACTGACTGCCCTTGCAAACAAGCTGCAGGTGAGGCATTAGCCATCAATTTTCCGTGCACTTGCACTTTTGTTCGTCAAAAAGATTTGCAAAGCGATAGTGCGCTTTCGATCAAAAGGTTATGTATCCGTAGCAATTGACGGTATGGGTTTTTTTCCTTTCGAAAAAATGCCAAGTTGACAGATCTATTTTGGGACAGAAAGATTGCGCTAATGGTTAGCACGTGTGTCCTTGTGTGATACTTAGCAGCCCAATTACCCCCTTCAAGCGTAGTACAGTCGTGGGGACATTGTTTCGCAATATGCAGGCTATTATGTAATTCTAATCCCTTGGCTCTCAACATTTTGTGACAAAAAGCGAGAGGTTGACAAAAGCTTTTGTAGGGTATTATCTAACGTATGGAATGCCATTTTTTTCAGCCTGGAGCAGTAATCGTGGAACCTGAAGTAACAGCAGAAGTAGCCCCAGTGGCTGAGTCTGCTCCGGCAGCAGAGGTACAAAAACCGGTTGAGGCTCCCGCAGATGCCGAGCCCTCTAAAGAAGGAGAGGAGAAGAAGGAGGAACCCGCAGAACCAGCAAAAACTGAGGAGAAACCTGCCGCACCAGCTCAGAAGACACAGAAAGAGAAGCAAGCCGATCTTATCAACCAGTTTGTCGCCTGGGCCAGAGATATCCTTGGATTTGAGGAAGGAAAGGTGAGAGCTTCAATAATGTTGTTCATCGATCACTGCTCCTGTGTGTTCCGGAAGCGAATGTGAAATTTTTCGAAGGGGCTTTTTGGTCCGATCTGGCTCTCGACATGCATTAAATAGCGTCTTAATGTTGACCAAATGGCGTGCCTTGTTGTGCAGAAAGGCAAGATCTGATTAGGCTTCCGCTGATGATTCTAAATGGGGTCCGTTTCATTTGTTCGTGAGGTGTTTTGCGGTTATGTCATTCAAAGGCGTAACAGAGATGGCCATCCGCAACACATAATCCTACGCTAGTAGGTACCTGCACCACTTATGACTGTCCTCAATATGCTCAAGGATGACATATGGGGTGGTTGCGTGACATTGACTGGGGTGATTATATGTGTAGTGCGGCCATAGATTGACGTAGTGTAGAAGGTCGATTCCGTGGAATTGTCAAGCAGTAGGAAGGCAAATCTCATCTCATTATGTTCAAGGTTCTGAGTATTATGATAGAAATTTAGAGTTTTTTTTTTCAACTGGAAAGTACACCATTTGATAGCCTTTGACCCAATGAAAAGGGTCACCTGAACTTTTGTCTGACTCAGCCTTTAGACCTTGTGTTAACACTGCTATCTGCTACCGGAAGCGAGATGGATGTGGGAACAACTGACCGCTCCATGTCATACTCAGGGCCGGCCTTCTTGTATCGGTTGTAGTGACCTCCGATTAACTAAAAGAGTGCCGAAAATCAGATAGCAACATGACGCAGGTCAGCATGTGACAGATAATTGCGCAAGGGACGGTTGACGCGGTTTTCACAGGGTACCGTTGTTCGACCTATAGCAGCTATTTGGCTGAAGGTATTACGAGTATAATACCATTAAGAAGGTGCATGTCTTGTGAGAGGGAATGAGTTCGTGTTTTTGAAAGTAGTACATTTCCTTTTCTAAGGTAATCAACTTTGCATGTCCTTTTCTTCTATGCCGCCTTTCTTTGTCCAGAAACTATTATTGTCGGCTAACCTCATGAATAGGCGATACTGTGGCTTACGGCGGTGCGCGTACTCGGCTTATGTGCCCTCCAAGGTCAATGAAGCGCGGCGTTTGTTTGGGCTGCAGATCATCGTTTGGCTTGGCAGTTAGCCACGGATTTGCGGAGTTGTTGTGCACTTTGTGCTCATTCTCCGTCTGCGCAAGAATGTGAAGATGTCTTATCTCTTGTCAATATCGATACGCGAGCCTGCAGGGTCAGGAATGCGACAGAAAGCACGGAAAGGGGCATTCTCTCCGTCATATTGAAATAAACGTTGTTTAAACTGGGGATGAGCTCGATGTACTTAAGCTCATGTATAAGATTTGATTGTGCGAGGCGTATGTATTGGGTGGCCCATTAACTCCTTTGGTGTCCACCGCGCTTTTTACTTCTCTGACATTAGTTCTTGGAAGTCTTTTGCGAATGTTACGTTCCCAGCCGCTGTAACACCAGAGCTTCGATAGCATCTGGGATGATATTGCTTTTGTACAACTATTTATTGCGGTCTGGCCCGCAGTATCGCTCGATTCACTTATGAAATTCGATATGGGAACAGATATAACCGCTAGATGGAAAGCGGGTCGTTCGGTCACTCGGTCGCCCATTCCCTCGTAAGTTGGGCAGGTACGAGACGAGATACGCGTCAGCCCCACAAATATGCAAATGGACTCGCGTACTGATTGATGACGACATCACGTCACCGACAGGTCGAGTGTGTGTTGTAATGCAATACTCGAATGAGGAGGAAGACCCACTGAACAGAGATCGCGTTACTTTCTACTTTCCCATTTCCCACAAGAACTTAAAGGTAACAGCTGCGTGATAGGGAGAGTACTCTTATATTCACATTGATGACCACGTAGCGATAATAGCCTCGATTCGTGTGGTCCGAAGATGCCGTGTTGTACCCTCCGTTTTGGCTTGCAATAATGAGTTAATCCCGCCGTTCATTGAGACGAGCGCATTTGTGCATTGTGTAGACGAAATGCAATTAGGCCTTCTTCCCCGACGTTATTTATGGGCACAGGGACACATTGCAACGGAGTCCTGAGCGTTGAGTGCAGAGTGAGGCCATTTATGGGGTATTCTGTGGGCGCACGATCGACTTGATTATCGGAGGCGCATAGCTTTCGGAGCCGAGGGAATGTTCGTTGTTTCTGATAGATGCGGCGTCGTGCGTTTTCGCTCAAGTTAATTGTCTTTCCCTTTTGCCACAGCAGACACCAAATGGCCTCGCGGCTGACCGAGCAAGGGATTATGAAATGAGAGCTTCGAACGCCATCTTTTTTTTGCGTGCGTACTCGTTGCGAAACTCACTCATGGACGTTGCCAATTTACGAGTACCTTATTCAAAATGTGGCTGTCAATCAAGCAAATAGTCTGAGGAAAAGAGTTATCGAACATTTGGTAGTTTTGATAGACGGCAATCCTTTGATCGCTGACAGTCCAGAACAAATAACAGCGCGACGATTGGGCGCCACTCTAATTGCTCCTTAGTGTCCGTAGCTCCTGTAAACATATGACATGACATCTATGAGTCACTTTGCACTGAGACTGTCCGTCGAAGAACTGCTTTGATTTGCACTGAAGTATGGAGAAATGAGAATGTGGAATGGATTACACATAAAACGAATATTTCCAGATAAAGGTTCGGGTGCATTAGCAGTCATTAGGTTTTTTGTTGAATGATGGCCCATGGGATCCATAAAGAATAATAGATGTGTATTTTTGATATTGGTATTTGGACGACCATTAAGGACGAATAGGTTATTAGTTGAGCATAGTTACGAAAAACACTCAGTATTTTTGCTTAACCCATTGGCGAGAGTGCGAAGTTTTGCGTGTCCGCCGCTTCGGACCGCGCTTTTTGCGCTATTTTCGAAGAATGCGTCATGATGCAGGGAACCATCGCACCAAAAATGTGAATCAAAATGTGGAGTAGAAACTGTTGAGACTTTGCTCGTCCCAAACCTTAGTCGATCGTTTGCAAAGCAGGCGTGAATGTTCTCGTTTGGCACAGGTAGGATTTCGGAGCAAGCCAGAAAGCCTTCAATTTTCCACTCCACAATCCGTACATGAATGGATCTTTTTTTTTATAAAAAAAACTGGATTAAAACCTAGCTAATTGCAAGCCGAAGACCAGCCGCATACATTTGAAAATGACTAACTTTACTTCAGAGAATCCCTTTGAATAGCTCTTGTGTAAAACACTTGGTGCGGAAGAAATGCTCAGACCATGATCACCATAAGCACTATATTGCTCTACTAGGTAATATGTCACAGTAAGAATTTCGAAAATCCTGCACGGAAGAATCACTTCTATGCTGCGTCCCCACGTCGAGCCGCCGTGTAGCCAAGGTGTTCGCAAACTTACACGAACACATGAATCACTTAGACTAACAATTGGTAGTTTTGAAGCTACTGCATGGGTTCAGCAAACATACATAGCCTTCACTTATCGGGGTGGATCGTATGCAAGGCGCATCCCTTTTCTTTGTTTATTTATGGATGCTTTCCGTTAATTTACGTCGTGTCTTTAGGGAATGACTGCTGCAGATCTTTTGGAAAAAGGAAAAGCCGGCTACCCAGCCGTATTTGACACCCTCTGGCAAATCGCCATGAAGGCACAAGTGAAATTCCAACAAGAAGGCATTGATGTTGATGCTGTGCTGTCTGCTGCTAGCCAGGTCGTTCGCACTAACATCATCCAGTCAATTCTGAACTTCTTCAAGGTTTGTGAAAGTTGACTTTGGTTTTAATGAGTCATATCAGGATTTCTATCGGATTCATATATTTCTTTTTTTTAGCGTCGTCCAGCGCCTGTCGCTGAAAAGAAAGATGAGCCAGCAGAGCCCGCTCCAGCTGAGGGTGGAGATGCGGCACCGAACGCGCCTGAGGGAGAGCAAGTAGCTGAAGAGGAGTGCAAAAAGGTGTGTTAATTTTATTCCAACATCCAGATTTTTTTGTTGCATAAATATCAAGGCTTCCAAGTAACCGTTGTTTGTTCCAGATTGACGCCTTGACGTCAGCTCCTGTTGCGGCCAATTGAAATGTTCCGAAGATGGTCCACTATCTCCCCATATTCCGTTCAGATCTGCCGGTTGTTTCTTTCCCCCCACGACGTTTCCCAATCGTGCTCTTCTCGTGTCCCTTGTCATCTTTCGTAAACCTTCAATCTTAGGTGAGTTCCTTTTTTAACTCTGCAAACATCACTTTCCCAACATTGTTGCACCCTGCAATAATCTAGGCGCGGGTAGAGTAGAGCGCTATGATCCGTTACTGGTCGTCGTTGGCAGATAATTGTCGCCCGGCCCCGATAATGGTGGGAACTGTGGCTGTCGCGGCTCGTTCGTTTCACAGCCGAAGTTTTTCTATTGTTGAATTTCGCCACGGATCTGTACGTTGTCCGCGAACACGGCGGTAACATGAGATCGGTGGATTCTACTTAATGTGTGCGTTTATGGTGATGTGATATGCATGAGCGGTAGACGGGATAAGAAGATGAAGGTGAAAGAAGGTTACCGCTGACCTTGTTCAGTTTTTTCCCTTTCCCCATACCATTAACGTTTGTGGGTGGACAAGTTTGGTTCAGGTTTACGCGCATCTGTATGAGTCATTCTCTGTGACTATCTCTACCATTACTACTTGCTGTTCGCATGAACAGTTCTCTATTGGAACACCTGTCGATGGTTGAGCAAATGATTTGGGCTAATAATGGTGTTTTTACGTGGAGTGGTGAAACGGAAAAGTGGCCAGTGTTGATAGTCGAGGGATTGCTAGCGATGTATAAGTGGTCATTGAATTCGCGACCAGGTTACGTAAGTGTGCGTTCCGTTGTCGCGCGTGCATTTCTGCTTTTGTTTTGCACAACGCTCTGACCACCAACCACCGCCACCACCAGCACCACACGGCTGGTGTTTATCGCCTATGCAAATTAGTGCTGATTGTGGTGTCGGTGTTGGTGGCGGTTGAGAGGGTGAGATAGATAGGGGCGTTCGATGAGAGACAAACGAGAAGGATAGGCGGTGTCACCACAGCTCGTTGGATGAGCGCGCGGCCAGCGAGTGCTGGATGATGGTTGAGCGATTTGCTGGCATCTGGCGATGGCTATCTCGGCTTAATGTGTCAAAGATTACGCGTGTCGTATGAATTCTAATGGCTTATGCCAGTACGGTAGCGGCTGTAATGCAATACGAGGCAGCTACGCACAGTACGCGAGACGTTGAAGGTCGCGGCCGGAAGTGATTAGGGAAGGTATTATGAGGTGCGGTGGTGTAGAGGTGAATGGAGTGCTTGATCGACCTTCATACAGCGCCAAGGCAGAGCGAGGTCGAATGACAAATCGGTCACTCGGTGCCATGGAGGGTGTGCGTGACGTATGGCAGGGTAATAAGATTGAACTGAGAGCCCGACAATGTCTTCTGAATGGACGAAACGGAATATGGTGCCATGGAGCTTGAATATTGGTCACTAGCAGCTTTGATGAGGACATGTGAATGACATTTAAAAAAAATCGAGTCTCAGAATGCTTCAGATGTGCGTAGTATTAGTAGAACATGATTACTATTATTTCAATGGGGGGGGGGTAGTCCAAAAAATGTGTGCATTGCGGAAATTGAGCTATTAAAATTCAGATTTTTCAGAATCGCTTTCGGCCGCGTTTTGACGTGTGGTCGTCGAGCTCGAGCTTCGATTCCATTGTGGTATTGTCGTTAGTCCTATTCACATAATCTTCGCGTCAAACATGTAACTGACGAAATTCAGTTGTTTATTGTTTTTCATGAAATTATTTGTATAATGTCTCCTGCCACTGTACTTCCTGTGCTGCTAAGATAGTGACATACGTCCTTTTGAAAGCAGAGGGTAAGCGGTTGAGGGACGGTATTTGGTAGCTGATAGCTTGATATTTTGTCATCATCGTTGTTCGATTGCTGTCTCTTAGCGGTTTGGTGGAATTTGACGAACTTGAAATATTTTCTTTCCTGATGTTTTTTGTAAAGAGTTTTCGCATTTTCGTCAAGCGTCACCTATTCGCGTTGTTTGTTGTATATGTATTCTTCATATCTGCGCGAGAGATTTCTTCTTTTCCTTATTTGGTTCTTCGACCTCAATCGGGAGGTCGCGCCGATCATCATTATCATCATCATGCGTATATTCGATAGCATTATTATGCCTCCATTATTTTCTATTTTTCCCCGAACTGATGTTCTCCTCCTATTTGAATTGGCGCTGCACACATCTATTTATAATTGATCTGTATTTTGGTTGAGATTATGCTTGGTCTTCAGCTTGTTGTGTGTTGACATGCAAACCGAGGTAATAAAAGTCGCCTTCAGATGGTTGAGAAGGATTGTTTGGGACGGCTTCAGGGGCTCAAGTATGCATATATCAATTCTGGTGATGAGTGAAGTGGGCTACCACCATTTTTTTCCTATTTCACTAAAAGTCGATGGTTTAGAAGGGACAGATTTTCGTCTCTGAGCATCAGGCCATTCACCGAAACAAAGAACGTTGACGTTTGTGGAGAACGTGAGCGTTCGACTAGATTATTCCATTAATATCCTAGGACGTCCAGTGGGTACAGCACGACAACGGGGCGGCTCACCGGTGTGAATAGTAATCAAGCGGGTTGTTTTGCCGTGCTCGTGTGGCCTCCTGCTGAGCACGTATGAGCTCAGGGGTGCATGTGATTGCCATTAAGGGCATAGGTCTGTTTGTTGGTAGCAGAAGGGTTGAACACCAAGAAGTCGTAATTACTTCGGATTATGAACGGTATTGATTGGTTAGTCTGCGCGTTGTGTTAGCAGGGCAGTAGATAGGGTAGAATAGATGAACTTTTGAACCAGGGAATCTGGAAGTGTTGGTTTTGAGCCGAGATCTACTTCTCTATACGGGATGTTGCTGCGGCAGGTTCGCAATCATAGTCGGTCAGTTAGGATCGGTATCATCAATAGCAATCGCTCAGCGTTAGAACGTATGAGATTGTCGATCTGGCGGAACGTCTGACAGATCGATACGCATAAATGCTGTGCGTTCGTTCACGATGGGCGACGACTATGACTTTGCGCACCTTAACAAAACCGAAGGCCTAACTCGTCAATACCTTCGTTTTTCGCAAATGATCACACATCTCGGTCTCTATAATCCTCAGCTACCAGCGCCAAACTGTGCTTCAAATGTTGTTTTCGGGCTAACTCTGACTTACCCAATTCCATCTGATTTTTTCGAATTTCCCATTTACAGATTAATTATTTCCTGTAGAGATTATGTCTTTCTAAAATGTTTTCGGCTAATTAATCAAACTCCTTGTAGTAGGAAGTGAGTGCCAGTGGTCTTTGTGTGAAGGTCAGTCGAGAGCATTTTCCCCGTATAAAGGCTGATACCAATTTACAGACTCCGTCTGACTTGATTAGCCCGACCTACGTGAGCAATCGCCATGATTGCTTTTCCGGCCGACGATGCACTCTTTACCGCTGCTCGGCTTCAGTCGTAGCACATTCTTTCAACGAAACACGATTCCCCTTGGGGCTGACGACGGAAAGCCTATTCATATGCAGAGTGCGACATGCGGTGCAATGAGCGTCGGTCGGCTGGCTGGCTGGCATCGACGGCGGCAACTATTTGGCATGGTGACTGCAAAGTACTCCCCAGAAATATGCCGAGAGAAAATATGGTATCATGCAAATATATGCGGTTTAAAGAAGCGCGCAAGGAAAATGCTCTAGAGAATTTGAATTGGAAAGTGGATTACTGCTGCCGAGTGAAAGGACCAGAAACCGGGGCACGTGGAGTGTTGAGGCTGATTCAAGGGTCAGATTTCGCCCTCCGTCATCTCTACCACCAGAGTCGGGTATTTCTTCTTCGTTCGTGTTCGCACCACTTTCTGAAGTTGTATAACCTTAACTTAATTTTCGCTGGAAATCCCACGAGGCCCTTCTGTGTTTTGGTCAGAAATATGGTGTTCATTTTAGTGCCAGCTCAGCTTGACCCCACTTTGATGCCTCTTGTTTTTTCACCAATTTCATAAAACTCACTTTTAGGGATTACTGATGGCCCTAACCACGTGTGTAACCTTCATGGATCCGGCACCATTTCTTTTTTGCCGAGAGCGAAGCTTACCGTTAAATTCAGCCAAATGACGTCGGTTGGCTCCGTGGCCCCCAAAAATTGTCACGTATGTAATCAGGGTAATGAAGGTATACGTGCAAAACGTATTTCATTTCGTGGGGAAAAGCCTTCTGGCATCCATTTTCGCCATAGAGAAAAGCGTGACATATTCGTAAGGCCGATGTCAGACTTAGCGAAGAGTGGAATGATGTCCCGCCAGGATAAATAAAAGGATAAAGCATTTGCCGTTGATCAATCCCTTTTTGGGATGCGGCACGCATTCTACTTCCATTTGTACATTCGTAGTGGCGTTTGAATGCGATGTGGCCTATACAATGACTTGCGGGGGCCAGCCGATGTACAAGTCAGTGTTTTTATCCTCCCAGACAAGTCTGGTACCAATTAACCGACCCCGGAGGGATGGAAGGCTTGGTTGGCCCGGGCGACTCACGACCCAGGATTTGATCCCCGGACCGCTCGCGTGGTAAGCGCGCCACTTGTCCACTACACCACTTCCGCCCTCCCGAAGTATGCATACAAATGCGCGGTATGCGAGTAATGCGGATTGGAGCCCCTCCTGTGGCAAGTTTTGTCCATAAATCAGCATCATTGCTACATACTGGGTCAAGAAACTCGCGACTAGCGTGCCATCCCTGTGGAGTCATAGCGAGCTGCTAAAAGTTACTGAATTGCTAACAGTTGAATGGTTTCAAAGATTACTGATGAGCATCGGTTCTGGTGGTATGACCTTATAAAAAGTAAACATTAAACGGGATTGGGAAACATCAAATAAGGGGAGGGAAAGGGAGCATCACATCAAAGGTGGTGCTCCCTCTGTTTATTTTGTACAATTAAAGAAGGTATAACTTACCGCTTACCCTGTAATATTCCGAAAGGAGCCAGTTTGGAAAGAAAAACCCTGGTAGACGAAAGAAAAAACTG